GGATCAGACCCAAATGTCCATGTTTGAGGGCCCGGATTCACAGGGAAGGAAAGACGTTAATATTAAATGGTGAAAGCAATAGTTCATGACAATCGTGAATCAAGACTATCACCCTTTGCAGACAAATAAAACTTGATACCAACGGGTTCCAACGTGTTTATTGGATTTGAGATTTTAGACGTGGTCAACTTGGCTCTCAATTCTTATCAACCTCTACAATATGATCATTTGTCAGTAGCAAACGCCCGTCGATGCAAGATACCACTGCATGGATCCCTGGTCCGAAATTTTGGGATCGCTTCGCGCTTCGCGAGGAACGACAGTCCTGACGCTCAACGACAGTTTGTTGAGTCTGAGAGTCTCCCGATCCTGCATGGTCCAGCTGGAAACAATGAGTCCTGAAAGCGACGGAGACATGGAGATGGAACTCATGCTTTTTTGGGGGGGTCCGAGGTTCCAAAACTCTAATGCCACCCTCTTTGAAAGCTCTGATTGATGTGGTTTTGAAGCCTTGCTAAATAGCTGGGCTTGTCAGGGGCTGTCCTGGTGTACGATCGCTTCTCACTTTGCTGACGGAGTCAGCCAGCGGCAGCTGCGTGAAAAGAACAAACTGTACCGCCCGGCGCTGGCTCTTCAGAACTTCTGGTGGTTGACCTGTTTGTGGATGATAGTTAAGCCGCAGCCAATGGAAGACCGAGGACGTAGCTGGACGCCCCTTTTCGCATACCCAATGAGCTGGGCCCAGTTCATCATGAAGCCTTAGCACGCCCCTGGTGCCACGCAGCCTGCTAAAGCATTTCCATGTAGGTGGGTGCTCAACTTGCTTTCAAGTGGTATACATCCAAGTAAGCTTTTGTCAAGGTTGCAACCACCTACATATTGTGGGTGCTTCAACGCTTGGATGTCCTGACACTTGCCTGGTGCTTGCTTTCCCTGTACCAAAATCATTCATTCTGGTGTGGTCGTCGATCAAAGACCCTTAACCTCCAAGAACCTCGATGAGGCCAGGCGGCTAGGTGTGGACCTCAACAAGACCAGTCATTTGACACCAACTTGTGTGCTACATTCATGACGGTTTTCTAAGAGCTGGCTGCCTGGCTCCCAAAAAGGAAACCGCAGGTTGACTCGGGTCACGGGTCACTGTTGCTTCAAACCACCAGGTCATCGCTCTCCAATATAAATAAGTAGACCAGTAGAACATGCTGAAAACAACAACTGAGCAATACTGAGTACAAAAAGACCATTTCTTTGATGTGTTTCTTTGCCACCACTAGCAGCTAAGCATTAGTTGTAAATGTCCAATGACCTTTGTTCCTGCAGTACCAGTGGCTGTGGTGAAAGAAATGGGTTCGACCTCGCTACAGGACCCACTTGCTCAGACGAGCATGCCTGACTCCACCTCCACCATGGCGGCGAGGCATCCGTGGAGGGCTCTTTTCCTCCAGTTTAGAGGATCGGGACCATCAAGAGTTGCGAAATCGTTGTGATCGGGCTCCAAAGTTGATAAACCCTGACCCACCTCCATTGTCCCATTCTACACATCTGGGAATCTAGACATCCATCAGCGCTCGCGGTGAATTCAGTGGTGCTCGGTTTGGTGTTGGGGCTGAATCTCACGAAAGGTGATGTCGTGGGCGGCGAAGGTTCATGACTCTTTGATGACTCAGCCCCTGGAACATGAGCCCCTGGACTCAACAGCCTGAACTTGATGGAAGTTGTGCTTCTTGAAGTGACCAGATCCAATTGAAGGAGCATAATTACTACCGTAGATGGACGAAATATTCCAACCCTTCCAACCACGTGGGCCCCTTCTACCCCAAAGCTCAATGTTAGAGATCTTGTAGGAGTGTTTCGGCGAATGGACGAAACAAATAAAACCCTGGAAACACAAAATTCAATCAAGTCATGTTCAACATTGACCTTCGGGGGTCAGGGGTTGACCAAAGTTATTGATACAGGGGTTTGAATATTTTGTCCATCTACTGTAGTAATTAGCATGTTTGTGGGTTGCTTGGTTTGGTACCTGCTATGGTTTTCCTAGATGTAAGGCATGGTAAGTATACATGCTTGATCCACTTGCCGGATTCTTAAATATTCTAGCTGTGAATCGTTGATACATCAACCTTCATCAGCTCAGTAGCTGCCAACCTGGAGCATCCAAGATGTTCGTTGTTGCTTTGCGGGCGCGACTCAACTGATTTCAACTGTTGGTTTGGTCATGGAAATACGCATGGATTGATGACGTGGGCCCTAAGCGGAGACTAGAAGTTCTGTTTAACGTGCGATCCAATCACTAGAACAGGTTCTACAGGTTCTCGTGAGACATGGGACTGGGGGATAATCAAAGGACCTGTGAATGACCTGCGTTTGGGATACTGAAGCTGTGACCAACCTTCGACTACCTGGTGCCCACGCTCTGGAAAGGCGAAACAAGGTTTGCCTGTCCACAGAGAGGTGGGAGACACAGAGCTGCCAGCTGATTGATGGCTGTTACGGACCTTTTGGGTGTTGGAAGTTTGGAAGAACACTTTTTCAAGGTCAGTGAATGGTCCCCAGTGTCCTCCAGTTTCCCGTTTCTTCTCTCACCTGTGTTAATCTCATCGAGATTGTTTCGCTCCTCCAAATCCATTTTTGGTTCTTGATATATCAGTGGTCGGCTGCTTAGCAACTGAAAGTGAAGCTAATCGAAGCTATACAGTATAATAACATAATGGTTTTGGGATCGTTTTTGGTGGGTACCCAACTGAAGTGTGTCCTGGCAGGTTAAAGTAGGGAAACTGCAACTGCTGGGATGTTTTTTGTATGTTGTTTCTTTTTGCATACTGTTCAAGATTTAACCATGGTGACACTGTGAGTCCAAATACACCATCATCAGTACCATCATCTACATAGTGGTCCCTCCAAAAGCAGCCATTTACTTTCTCCTTCGTCTTTCCCCCTCTTTTGAAGCACAGGGCACACGTTTTGGACAAATCTGTGTATGTGTGTTTGTGGCCCAGATGTAGGGCCAATGTAGGGTAGGGCAAAGGGAAACCCCATTTGGGGATAACCGGAGGCGCATGGGTCACCATTGCCTGGTACCTCTGCAGCTCCTTGAACTAAGAAGATGGAGATTCTGGGGTCCGATGGAGATCACTTCAAGATGACATGTTGATATCCTGGTACCTTCTGTTCATTTTTTCAAGGCAAAAGAATCCGCAAGAAACAGATCGATTCATCACTGGAACCTGTCTCAAAGTCAAAGGACATGGACCGAAGCCAAATGTAGAATCTGGACAATCAAGCAGACTTGAGGTCGACCATTTCTTGGCCAGGGATGGCAATTCTCACTTTACAAGGGGCCGATTGAACCGCACAAATCCAAGCCCAAATTCCACACTTTGAGTGCTTAGCACAAATCCAAGCCATGAGAGGGTCGTCGTGGGCATAGCACCCACGTGCAAGGCTGAAGCAATGGGAATGGTTGGAGAGCAAGATCCGATCGAAAGTGCAGGCGCCTCCTGCGGCGCATGGCCCCTGGCCTCAGCGGACTTGGACCGATACAGTGGGCCATCAGAGTAGATGGCACAAAACCAAAGATGTCTTCCATGTGGAGGTCCACACAACCACATCAAACCACCAAACTTGGGGATTGTGCCATCTACTCTGAAAGCACTGTAGTAGATTCATGTAGATTTGGGGGTCATACAGGCAGCCTCGATTTATTCAAATTCATCGGGCCATCCAGCCTTTTTAGTCTCCTTCATTGACGACAGGCGATGTGTTCCTTTAATTCAGGTGGATGGGAGTTTCAACTTGCGTTTCCTGTGTACCAGCAGTCACATCCTCAGACCACTGGACTCGGAGTACCACCTCTGGGGGCTTCGCCGTAGGGTTTGGGAGGACGACTTTTGGTTAAGAAAGGACTGGCCGGTCTACTTTGCTAAATAGCGATTGGAATTAACATGTTTTACTGCCGTGTCCGCGTGTATTTGGATGGTATGCCCACCGGGTGGCTTTTTGCAGGATGGTATGCCCAGGGGAGTGTGGAGCACAGGATCAGACCCTGAAGTAAGATCATCAGATTATTCTGTTCTGGGGCGTTTGCATTGTTTACCATTCCTATGCAGAGTAAGGAAGGTGGATCATCAAGTGAGGTCATGTGGATGAGAACCAATATAATCATGCAAGGCCGAATGACAAGATGCCAATTTGTTCAGCACCCCAGCTGCCCTTCAGCCTGTGCAGGAAGGACTCAAGAACTTTGAATTACCACTTGCTATCTTCACAATCTTCACAAGAATCGGGTGGGATTTGAAGGGGGAATTGATCACATCGTCTGGGTCCAGTGATTTTGCAGTTGCATGCATGTCGCCTGCCCGGCTGCGCAGAAACATCGTGTGAACCTTCTACCTTCCTTCAAGGACGGGCGCCCGCCGTGAATCCAAGTCCTACAGTGCAGGTGAATCAATCTCCACAAGGATCAGCCTAGCTATATACTAGTTTATGTTGGATGTCACAAGTGGTTTGAGGTCTTGCTATATAGAATCATCAACTAGACCAAGTGGTCAGATCCAAATCGGGAGACGTCTCTTTTGTCCGGATATGTCAGGACATGGATCGCAGCAACTGCGGCCACATCACCAAGAACCAGTTCTTCCGAGTACGCTTTGCCCCCACCGTTGCCCAGAGGGGCCGTCGGATGAGTTCCGTTGGCCGAGGATTTCAGATGAGCCTTGGGGGACATTGACAAAGCGAAGGAGAAGCTAGATACCAAGAGTATATATTTATATAATATATATAATATATATATATACTATTTAATTTAGTAGGTAAGGCCAACATGTGCAACAACATGTGCCAGGTTGGTTCAGTGGAATGTCACAAGGAGGTGAATGTGTGCACGTGATGGAGCTGCTATGCCCAAGTCAATCGTTGAATCTATAGTCTACAGACTATTATATATAGCATACTAGTCATATATATATAGGTTTGCTAGGACTCTTCCAGTCCTCGACCACAGCTTGCCTTGGCTCAAATGATGTTTCAGAGTGACAGTTCAACTTGGCCAGTTCCCTTCGGGCACGATGGCGACCCCGTATCCAGGGAAGAGCCCCTTCAGCATGCTCTCGGTGGAGGAATGTGCCTGAAACTCAGGATGCCTTGGTGACACTTCTTGTTGCCACATGCCTTGGCCAACGGCCCGAAGTGCAAGCAACCGGCAACCCCTTGGTTTGTTGGAACCAAAAGGCTACCAGTCTGCACATTTTTGTTCACCTGTCTTGCCCAAGAATCAGACCTCCCAGAGGGCCCTTTCATGCAATTTCCCTGCTCCCACCTGTTGACTAGGGCGCCCGTGACGCCCGGGGATCCACTGCCACCGTGCCACCTTCTGGAAAGGTACTTGGACCATCTTGGACCCTCCAAGCCTTCATGAAGGTGTCTCCAATCATCTCAGAGGGTGGCAGTGGATCCATAGTGGATCCAGGGTGCTATCTTCTGCCATCATTGCAAAGATATCGAGGATACTATGCCCATCGGAGGGTGATGCCTCCACTAGTGGATACACTCTTCTTCGGCCATAGTGGAGACATAAGGCACTTGTTCCTAGTAGCGATGCACTTGTTCCTAGTAGCTTCTTGTTACTACTAGTAAGGCACTTGTTCCTAGTAGCGATGCACTTGCTACTAGTAGCTTCCAAAGGAGATTCTTCTTCGCCGGAAGTTGTCTCAGGTCTCGATGGTCTCGGCACAAGTGCTGGGCCCTTTGGGCCGTGAGGAGGTCGCCTTGGCCGATGCCTTGGGGCAGCTCGGTCCGTCCAAAACGCTGGGGATGGTCCGCAGACCGGTGGCTTGGGTGTATTGATGGGTACTGTAGATAGATATGCTTTTTTGTGTTGTATTCTATAAGTATGCGATTTGTATATATGGTGATTTGATGCGATTTGTAGGTTTTGTGGGGATGGTGAAACGTTAAATTTGCTGCAGCCCGTGGCTCCCACTTCATGGTGAAAACCACGAAGGCGACAATCTTTTTAGGTGATCATCTCCGACAGGGGCTTGATGGGACTCAAACAATATGATTTAATGACGGCCTCGTGGTTGGCTGCTGGTGTTGTTCTTATCTTATCTCTTGAACACTTTGAGACCTATGAACTGCCTGCCAAAAGATTCCAAGGTAAGGAGATCCTGTCTTCGTCGGTGGAAGTCATGTTGCGCCACAGTTCTTGGATAGCCTTTTTGGGTTTGCACTGGTTGTAAGGCCCAGTCGACTCCATTGAGGACATGTTCCTTTGGGATGTGTGATTTCCACGCGGACGGTTTGACCACATGGTGCTTTTGCTCCGTAAACGTCCGGATGGACGTGACACTGCGTCCGGATTCTGCAGATTCCGATGTCAGGCGTCGCTTGGCAGAGGATGTGACTGCATCCGCACCGATCCCCGCTTTTCCAGAGCTTTGTCTGAGAAAGCTGGCTGGGACGAAAGGAAGCTGAAACTGGAGACACATTCGGTCTGTGCTGCCAGGAACATCAGAAGGTGGAGAAGCACTACTTGTATCTATTTGTAATTGTTCTCGTGTGGAGCCTTTTTGTTGGACTGCAAGGTTTATATGCAGTATGAAGGGTGACAGGGTGACAGGCTTACTTTCCACTGGTTTCCGTTTGGACCATTTGCAATCCACAGTCCTCTCCACTGAATCTTTTGGTGGATTGAATGGATGAACATCCTGGCTTGGCTTGGAATAGATTTGGGTCAACCCAAATGATGAACGTTCGACACGATTCCAACAATACGAGGCCGCATCGGAAAAAAGTAAACTGCTCAGACATTTTTCTTGGGTAGTCGCATGTCAGCAGGGTTTCCCTGTGTTGATATTTGGTACATACGATTCAACCAAAGAGACCAAAACTCCGAAACTGATGCCAGCCGTGTACCGCAGTGCAAGTTCCGTTTTCGGTATAGACTCTAGACATTGACATGTCTAGACTGTACTGTAGACGGTGTCAAAGCAAGATCTTCACCGTGCACTCCGCGAACCAGTTTCACTTTTGATCCGTGCACTTGCTACCAGCGTCAGTAAGGCCTCCATCATGGATGGCTTCGCCGTCCGCTCGAGCGACCCTCCCAACACCTATTTGGTGGACGCTGATTCACTGGCCGGTGGCCAGAGCGCCGGGCCATTGCGGCCAGGCCGCCGAGCCAGAAGAGTTCTGCCGTTCGTTTCTCAGGAATCGACCTCAATCCTGTTCACTGAGAGACGGGTGAACACCGCGGTATTTCATCGTGTTTGGATGATTCGTCGAAGTCGTGGTGAGTTCTTTCACCAACTGTGGTGCTTTCGGATCCGGCTTTCACGTACTCTTAGAAACTCGATGTGCATTTCTTGCGAGTGGTTTTCGATTGTGGTTGTTTGGAGGCAGGTTGATTCTGCGCATCTAAGATTTGATAAAATTCGGATATATTTGGAGATGTGGGTGATCTTGTTACATGGGGGGTCTTGCGCCCTGCAGGTGGAGGGTGTGCGTGAGGATGTGACCGGATCCTCCGCCAGGCTACGTCCGCTACATCACCACCGGATCCTTTGTACCCGAGGGAGCAGATGCTGTCGTCAAGGTGGAGGACACTGTTCAATCGGCGAGGCGGATGCTTCTTGCGGGATGTTCAAGGTTGTTTCAGGTATTCAGGAAGAGGATAGAGATGAAAATTCAGCACCCAACTAAGCTGAGTTGTCAGATGCCCCTCAGGCAGATTATCAGCAAGTGCCAATCAGGTCCGAAACAGTGGCAACAGTAATTAATCTAGAGTGAAATAATTAGCCAGATTATCCAGCAGGTCGATCACCACAAGGGATCAGAAGGGCCTTAGAAGGACATGTTGCATTATGCTTCTGACATATTCTGATGTATTTCACCAATTTCACAAGTGTTTTACCCTGGCCCTTGCTGTGGAGTTCACAAGGGGGCCACCTTGCAATGGGAAACCTTGAAAAGAAGCTTTGGATGGGAAGACAAAAACAGACAGACTCAAAAACAGTCCAGTTTGTCAAGTGGGGAATGACTGCTGGGGGTTCCCACATCCGCCCAGTCAGCTCATCCTCTCAGCCCATGCAGGTCAGATGGGCAGGTCGAGGTGCAAATCTTGGTGTCCAGCAGGGAGACCCAATGGGGGTCCGCGAAGGGGACGGATGGGACGATTGCTTGACTGGCTACCTACCAAAAGGTATAAGTAAAGGTATATTTTTTGGGGCGATGGGACGATGTTTGTCATCGGTGAATAGGGTTTGCCGACATAGTGTAGTGCAAGTTTTACTTTAACTCCAACTCCAGCATTTTCCACTTGGGATACTCCTTGCTTCGCGTTGCTTTTGGCGCGGACACCACCAACGTCTGATGTAAGTTGTTTCTGAGGCTGCAATCACGCATGAATTAATAGAGTTGTGGACTGGTTTGCAAGCAAGCGTAATCTTGATGGATTCAAACTCAAAATGTGTCTCGAACGCAAGAAACCTTGTCTGATCAATCAACCCTAGACCCCTTCAGAGCAACCTTCTCCGTTCTCGATGGAAGAACAGCTCAAATAGGTTCTCCATCTCCCAAAGGGCGGCGACCAAGGCAAGCCGGGAGCCAACATCCGTGCCGTTGGCTCGGACACGGCCAAGGCAGGAGTGCGAAAAAGGCCAGGTAGTGTTTCTAGGATTGTTTTCTCAGAAAAATAGAGGCAAACCACTGAATTGATCGCATGGATTTTCCTTTGGGGATGGCCTTTCTCTATATATTGTTCAGGGGACACTTGAAACATCTAGAAACCTACGGCAAGCGAGTCGACAGGCCTTCAAGTCCAACGACCCCTGCATTGAACAAGTGCTCAACGACTGAAACCTTTGGGATGCCGACTGTTGGATGTACATATATATATATATATTAACGCACCTATAGTGTTTGAACGTGCTTCATGATCGACTGTGTTCTCAAAACACCAATCAGGTAACTCCAGCTCCCTGGTCCCACCATTGGTCGATGCAGTTAAAAACAGCGTCGGTTTGAATCGTCGCCCTCAGACTCAGCAAGAGAAAGTGTTTTAGCAGTCTTGTTGAGAAGCTGGCAAGGGAAGATCATTTGTTACTCCACGCAGACAAGACCTTGCGACGCAAGTGTTGTCAGAGCTATTCCAGGTTTCTCGCCCCATTGGGGTAGATTGGCGTACAGAGTTTGCTCGGAGCAATCAATGGCTCAGCCATGCAGCCCCTACCTCCCACTTAGGAGTTTGCGGTTGGTTGATGGTGTGCCCCTTCCTCCGACAAACGTGGAAGTGGATGGCACCACAACTCTAAAATGCATGTTCCGGATACTCAACAGGGGCTTGCCCACATTCGTGTGTTGGAGGGAGGGTACATGAGCCAGCTGAAACTATGACCCTTTCCATGCCCCAACTGAGGGCGAGGCGCTGCTGTCAGCTGGCTGCCAACTGAGAGCCAGTGAGTTGGGGGTATTGGCAGCGCTGAACCGCAGCCGTGCTTTGGCTTTCCTGCAGTGGTTCCTGTTTTGCAATCCAGATCAAGCCAAATGAGATATGGAAAACTACTGCATTTATGCGTGGTGATTATTGGCAATTGCTACTCCTAGCTTAGCAGGGTGCTTTTTGTGTTGGAGACGGCACATGTCACTTTGTTATCAGTGGTGATGCAGGTACAAATCATATCAAATCATATCAATTTGCCGCGGCCTGTTTTTTTCTCCCTGACTGAGTCACGGCGTCATTTCAAGAACCCTTGACTTCAGACATGTGAAGTGAGAGTACCGTGTTGTGTTATATAAGTCAATGAAGTTGCATTTTGTTCCTTTTCCCGCAACTTGGCACATGGAATTCCACTTCGGTCGACCTTGCTCTTTCGGGTCGACTGTCCAACGACCCTGAGGCCTTTGGGTCCACCGAGAGCCACGCGTCGCCGTGCTCTCCACCGGCGATGAGCTAGTTGAGCTGGGCGGCCAACCAGATGAGGGCAGAGGACGGAGAGGGGAGGTCAGAAAGGTTTTTTCATGTTTTTTCGATTCCAGCGACTCTGTTCCCAAGGTGTTTCTGTAGATTGTCCGGTGGCCCAAGTTGAAGAGGTGAATGGCCCTTGTCCTGTGGGTTTTGTTCGGCTAGCCAGTAACACCGTACAAGAGGATCAGTTTGACTCGATATGGACCTGCTGGAGTCCATGTATATCACCACAGATGTCGTTGTCATTTTGCTCAATGATGGTTTTGCAATGTTTTGCACAATTCATCAATGATGGTTTTTCAGACTGCCGCGTGGAAACGCGGTATCACGTGGCCACAGCTCTGAAAAGATTCCATGCAGGACTCCGGGACCACCTGGATGGTCTGTTGTTGGCAGTGGTTGAGGTGGTCTTGCTAACATAGCTGGAATTAATTCAACCAGTCAGTCAGAGATGCCCTCAAAATCATATCCATCCGAGGTGGGTGTAACCACCTAAAAATAGTTCCAAACTATATGAGGGTGGGCGGGACGGGAGGATGGTCTAACGTGGCTCCCATGTAATCTCTGTATTGGTTTGACATGGTCTCACTTTTCAGCCGACTCGTTTTCGAGTTAGGGACTTTACAAAACAAGGAATATCATTTGCAAAGTGCCAGCTTTCCAAACCAAAGGTTCCAGCCAACCCTGAGGTCCTTGTCAGGTCGGTCAGCCAGGACAAATCATCGACTGCAACCGACCTTTGCTTTGCGCCATGGTGAAGGTGCGGGGTAGTGCAAAAGGACTTGGAACAGGTTTGCAGAAGAAGTCCGTGTCTTGTGAGTCTTATGCTACCTTGCAGATCTTGCGGGTCGCGTCAATTGGGTGTAAGTGGGTCTATGCAACCTGCTGCTTCCCCACTGCCACTTCATAAACAAGGATGACAGAGGCAGGAACGTGTCTTTCTTCCCATGGCCCATGGCACATATACAAAAATATATATAGATGTTTTTTTTTATTTATTTTTACTTTTTCAAGGCTTACGCCTGACAGCCGGGCGCCGGCCCAACAGAGGACAAGAGTAGGACGGAAGAGGGGATAGAGGCAAAAGATATGAGGCAAGGTGGGACGGGACGTCGGGTAGGACGGAAACATCCTGGAAGTCTCTCTCCCGTTCTATGTCTCTGCCCCTGCATGCCAGTCGCTTTCTCCGTCCTTCTCTCGTTCCCTTGCGTACTGTTCTAATCGTTTGCTCTCCGTCTGTTTTCGTCTTGCTGTCTGTCTGTGTGTCTTCCGTTGTTTCTTTCTGCGTCCCTCTCGCGCTACCTGTCGTTCTTTCTGTCTCTCTGTCTGGGTTTCTGCACGTCTGTCTGTCTGTCTGTCTGTCTGTCGGTCATTCTGTCTTGGTGTCTTTCGGTCTGTCGGTCGTTCGGTCTTTCTGTGGCACGGAAAACGGGATGGAGGTCAACGGTAGAAGGCGCCGGGGGCCGCCACCTCCAAACCTGGAGGGGGCTGACTGCCCTGGCTTGCGACCGCACGCCGAAAGTCGGGCCGTCGCACAGTGGTATACCTCTTACGGCCATGTCTCCGTTTTGCTGTTTCTTTCCCTTCCTCTCTCTCTCTGTCTGTCTGGCTGGCTGGCTGGCTGTCTGTCTCTGTATCTCTGTCTCTGTCTCTGTCTCTCTCTCTCTCTCTTTGTCTCTCTCTCTCTCTCTCTGTGTCTCGCTCTCTCTCTCTCTCTGTCTCTCTCTCTCTCTCTTTGAGTCTTTGAGGCCGTGTGTGGCCTATGTTGCCACATCTTGAGTCCCGTGCTATGTCTGTGCCCTCGCTTTCCGTATCCCTCTCTCGCGCTGTCTCTGCTTATTCTCTCTATCCCTCTCTCTGTCTGTCTGTCTCTGTCTCTGTTTGTTTGTCTGTGTCTGTTTGTGTCTGTCTGTGTCTGTCTGTCTGTCTCTGTCTGTCTCTGTCTGTCTCTGTCTCTGTCTCTGTCTGCGTCTGTGTCTGTGTCGGTGTCTGTCTTTGTCTCTGTCTCTGTCTCTGTCTCTCTCTGTCTCTCTCTCTCTCTCTCTTTGAGACCGTGTGGGGCCTATGTTGCCACATCTTGAGGCTATCTTGGCCCATCTCGGGGCTATGTCTCCCATATCTGGGACCGATGTAGGGTCATCTTGCGGCTATGTGTGCCATATTTGAGACCTATGCTGGCCTCTGTCATGCCATGTCGGCGCACATTTTCCGCCGTTGCTGGTGGAGCGTGCCCGACACCCACGAAATGTCGATTATGCTTGTCCGCCCGGCGCGCATTTCGGACACCACCTTTGAAACAATCTTCGCCGCGGCTGTAAAACACACGACCTGAGGTGGGTAGGAGGGAGACAAAAGAGATGTGGGGCCGACAGAAGGCATGGTGACGCGTGGGTGGTAGGGCAGAACACATGGTGACTCCGCGGCGTGCTTAAAGGGTGTGGGGCAGACAGAGGGTCCACGGCATGCTGCATCAGCTATGTGGAACCCCATGTGGATGTTAAGGGGCTGGAGGACGCAGCAGGGACGGGGCCCAGAAGGGGTAGAAGTAGAGGGTGCGGGCACGAGGGATGAAGTGGGAGACAGAAGGAATGGAGTTTATATGGTCCCTATGTGGAGGTTTACTTGGCGTGGCAGTGGGACATGGCGCCAGTATAGGGTGCAGGCAAGAGATGAGGTAGGTGGTAGGGCAGAACGCATGGTGACTCTACGGCGTGCTGCATCGGCTTCCTGGAATCCCCAATATTAGGAGGGGGGAGGGGGTAAGCATTAGAGATATTGAAGGGTGTGGGACAGACATCCACGGTGTGCTGCGTCGGCTACGTGGAACCCTCATGTGGATGTTAAGGGGCTGGAGGACGCAGCAGGGACGGGGCTGTGGCAGTGTAGAAGGGTAGAAGTAGAGGGCGCAGGCAAGGGAGACAAAAGGAATGGAATTCCCTATAGTCCCTATGTGGAGGTTTACTTGGCGTGGCAGTGGGACATGGCACCAGTATAGGGTGCAGGCAAGAGACGAGGTAGGTGGTAGGGCAGAACACATGGTGACTCCACGGCGTGCTGCATCGGCTACGTGAAATCCCCAATGTGAGGAGGGGGCAGGGATGGGGTAAGCGTCAGAGTTTTATTGAAGGGTGTGGGGCAGTGGGGCCAGTAGAGACTCCACGGCGTGCTGCATCGGCTACGTGGAATCCCCAATGTGAGGAGGGGGCAGGGATGGGGTAAGCATTAGTCATTAGACAGGCAATTCCAGTGTTCCACAAACGTCACTCCTGAACCGAAGGAAAAATCAAGGTTCTGGCAGGCAATTCCATTGTTCCAGGCACAGAAGCCAACATCCTGCGTCACAAAACAGCCTCCTGCCGTCCTTCTGCCCGAGCCAACATCACTCCTGAACCGAAGGAAAAAATTAGGCTTCTGGCAAGCTTCCCTTGTTCCAGGCGCAGAAACCAAGCCATCGAATCAGGCCTGGCACGGCGTGGCGGAACAGCCTCCTGCCACAGAAACCAAGCCACAAGACACCCTTCGAATCAGATTTGGCGCGGCGTGACGAAACAGCCTCCTCCCATCCCTCTGCCCGGGCCAAACGTCACTCCTAAACCGAATGTTCTGGCAGGCAATTCCACTGTTCCAGGCACAGAAACCAAGCCACAAGACACCCTACGAATCAGGAACCGAATGAAAAAATCAAGGTTCTGCTGGCAATTTCACTTTTCCAGGCACAGAAACCAAGCCACAAGACACCCTTCGAATCAGGAAAACACCCTGGCACGGCGTGACGGAACAGCCCCGCCCCTCTGCCCGGGCCAAACGTCACCCTGAACCGAATCAAACAATTTAGGGTTCTGGCGGGCAATTCCACTGTTCCAAGCACAGAAACCCAGCCGCAAGACACTTTTGAAATCAGGAAAACACCCTGGCACGGCGTGACGAAACAGCCTCCTGCCGTCCCTCTGCCCGGGCCAAACGTCACTCCTGAACCGAATGGAAAAACATCAAGGCTCTGGCAGGAATTCCATTGTTGCAGGCGCAGAGGTCCACTGTTCCACGCAACAGAGACCTGTGCACCGAGCGCCAAAAAAAGCACTTCTGGGTGGGATCTCTAGATAAAGCAGCAGTAGCCCACCTTATGCCCACAACTGATACAACAGAACATACCATTTCGGGGCGCGCTCCCCCTTGCTACACCACGGGGTCGGCGGATATATATATATATATATCAGTCAATTCGAGGCCGGTGAATCTTTGCCAGGGAGAGGACGCCAAAGACTTTCCTGGGGTGGATCCCTCTTAAGTTTTTTTTTCGACGTAATTACCCTTGAAGAATGAAACAAAGGAATTCACCAAAGGGGACCCAAAAGAAATCAAACATAAATCAATCTGAAAAGAGTCGAAAGATGCATAGGGAAGTCGATTTAGAGTCGCGTGAAGTTCAAAAGGAATCAAACGAAGTGAAAAGGAAACCATAGGAAACCAAAGAGTTTTCATTGCGAGGTTTCATGGATTTTGAGGGTTGGGAGGGTGTGACTACTTTCTGGTTGATAGGGTGAAAGATTTGTTAAACTCAGAATCAAAGGCGCTGGTTGTACACAGGCAAAACTAGTGGCGGGTTTGATAAATAGATGTTGATAGGGGGAGAAGAGCAAAATGGCACAGAAGGTAGATTTCAAGGCGGTTGGTGATAATGGCAAAGCTGGACCAAATGATGTAACAGGGGGTTACCTAATCCGCTGGCAATGTACCTTCATAGTAGCAAATCCTGAAGGCCAATCGTTCGAGCCCAGTCGCTTGTAGGCCCCGGAGGTGTCCAGGAGCAAAGAGCTAGTGATGTTCAGTTCAGCTGGTGTGGGTCAAAACCATGACATCGGTTGACGGCCATTTGCATTTTGGAGATGTTCCCCCGAAAATGTGCGGTGATATGACTTACTTACATTCCACATCCATCATCCATACCCATCTAATGGGGTGGCACATGGAAAAACTCTAGGAGCTGGGGGCTATTGTCTCAGATCGTGGACAAGTGCCTCTTAGTTGGAGACTGGCGGGTGAAATTTGCACAGGGAACCCTCCTCGAAGTGTTCCTTCCAGGGTCACCGACCGAGACGGCCTGGCGCGTCCTCGCGGTCCGGTTCACCGAGACGGCCGGTCTTCCGCCTCCGCTTCCTTCATCGTTCGTCCGCATCTCCGCCTCCACGAGTCGAGTCCGTCCGGCGATCTCGAGCGAGTCGGGCAGATGTTAAAAAAGAACGAAGGAACAAAAATGGTAACATGACACACAAAAAGAGAACGCACCCTAAAAGTCGTTCCATCAGAATTACTGTAGATTGAACACCTATAACGTTTACCAGTTTAACATTCCTAAAAACATGACTCGCTTTCATCTCATTTTCATATAATGAAGAAGCTTCCAGGCTGGCCTTTGCGCTGTTTTGTCATGGTTCTGCCCGCTGGTGCGGATTGTCCTGCATGGCGTGGTGGTCATCGCTGGTCATCTTCATTGTTTAATATTTTGGAGTTTTTATACAGTAGCTTTTCTTTGGGATGAACAAACAACCGATGAGCGGTCGCCACCCTACCTCACGGTATGGTGCTTTGTGGGCGCCCATGCACTTGTACGACATCCCAAATCATAAGGCATAAGGGATGCTTGTACAATATCCAAAAAATTTCCCTTCGGGATCCTTCGGGTATCCTGGTACATCGCAAAGGCCAATCTTTTCTGTGTCTCGTTGGTGCACCCACGCTGAGGCCGGATGAACTCGAACATGTTCGCGCCACACTGGCAGATGCGTTGGAATCGGTCTCCGGGCATCAAGAGGTCGATTGTGCTGGACGTTGCAAAGGTGCATCTATATATAATTAGGCACGTCCAAACACCCACACTAGTTGCACTTATATAAATACTTGTCACCCGCGTGGCCATGGTATGTTGCAGGTGTCCACAGTAAGAGGGGACACTTGGGTTTTTGTGGTTCCATTGTGGCCAGTAAATCACCTCATTCACAATGTCAGAAACGACCTCATTGAGTCATTGACCGAAAAGCCAACTTGTGCCGCAAAACAAGAATACGTACCAGCAGTGTTGTCCAATTTCTCCAAGGTGGAACACATTGAACAAACAATAGTTGAATATGGTGCATCCTTTTCGTTTCATGTAGAATTTACAGATAATTCAATATTCAGCAGAATATGTTTTGCAAACATGTTGAAGATAATAATTACGTCTTGACGCCTTGTGCGTTTGACAACGATTTGCTTTCCATATCGGGTGTAAGGAAAGGATACCATTTTAGACCCATGTTCGACACTACAACTAGGTGTTTCGATACAAATGCCGTTGGGGAAAACTGCTCAGCCTCCTGGTTGTTGTTGCCAGTGTTTTCTTCCCTCTTTTTGGGTGCTACATGACTCACCGTTGAAGCCTTTAAGTGATGTGACAAAGCCGAGCAGACCACCCTGCAGCGAGAATCGCTGGAGCGCGGCAACCTATGCTGTGTAACATGAAAGCAATAAACTATGCTTCAGATCTTTCTCGTTGTAAAGTGGTCGCAGCCACTGTTCAAAGATTTTGAAAGATTCACCCATTCTCGCTGTGAGCGTGAGAGATTTGGAACAAGCGCAGAGGCCAAGGTGAATCAGGTCCATGCGGCACTTGCGAAGCTACGATTGGAGCAGAGGGATCTCTTGCGTTTTGCGGCAGACCTCAACCGAAAGTGGAGGAACTGATCCCATCTCGGGAGTCTCGTGATACAGTTCGATGTCCGTCGGTGTTTCTTGATGGCTGATCGGGAACTCCTCGCCGCTTAGGCAGACCTGGTAATTACCTCTGGTGGTGTGAGCCGTGGGAGCAAGGACAGGCCAACGCAGAGAACAATTCATTGTAGGCGTGGACACGATGTGCAATACACACCATAAGTATGTATCACCGGAAGCAAAACAAACGAAGCTCAATAGAAGCCATGAAATGGTCACACCTAGATCCCAAGTTCGAAAGGAATCCAATGCCCACTATGTGTGATGTCTATGCCATTCTAAGCAGAACATGCACCGACTCCAACAAGTTGCACGTGGGCCAGGACTACATCAAGGAGGTCTTGGGTGACCTGGGCCACTCAGATGACCAAGAGATAAGAAGACGGTCGTAAAAATGGATCTCCAAAGCACAGGAGCTTTCGGCCATGTTTTCTCGTCCATCAGTTCCGTCCCCTCATGAAAAAGACAGCAGATCAGTCGTGCAAGGATATCTAAGACCGGCACTCTAAAGGTCCCAATCAAATGGGTATGAACAACGTCTATTCTACTTGCTTTCTTTGAGGACCTCGCCCAAGAGCATTTGTGTTTGATGAATCACGCAACCCCAAACCTGGAAAAAGCCTTGTACTGTTTATCCGTAGCAGTCCTAGCAACCTATTTTGTGGTCTATGCAGGATCATTGACTGAAAACGTTCAATAACAGTAACATGCTGATTTCATCAATGACGGTAACACAGTGCCCTTTTCATCGACGATCAACGTCCTAGTCAACCCTTGTTGTTAGCTGATAAATGTATGTATTCTGCTGTTATAGCACAGATCTTCCCTTCAATAAAAATGTAGAACAAGTCAACCCAAACCTTTGACAACGGTGACTTCTCGTGATTGCAGTGGGCTCCCCTTTTGTCATGTTGGAAAGGGAGCTGTTGCGGGAAGCCCCAGACATTTCCAGAGCCGTTGCGGGATGTGAGGTGAGCTGCACTTCGGCGAGATGTGTATGAAACCGGGAAAGCCCAGCACCTTCGCCACCGTGAAGACTGGGCCAGATCCTGCACAGAAGAAGCTCTTCTTCGGCGCTTGGGCCAAAGTTGGCGGACCATGTAAAACCTCCTACCTGGATTGAAGCTAAGTCTTGGGGATGGGTGATATTTGGCTATGGGTGATATTTGGCTGAAAAATCGTATATGTGTGGGCCAGGCCGCAGGGATATATAATTGATCCTTAGCCTGTCCGGGGGGGCGTGTGTTTCCCTTGTGAGTTCTTTGTGTTGGAAGGCAGATGTGGGGACTGGAGAGCTCCACCATCACTTCTCCCACCACTTCTGCCGCAGACGACTCGCTGACAATCCCCGCAGCTCAACACCCCCTGATCCGAAAACATACCTTCGAAAGGTCTCCTTTGCAAGCTAGCATGTCTCAATGCGTGAGCGTTGAGGTTTGCCAGGGAATCCCGTGAGCTGTTTCGTGACCTTCAACTTGCTGGTGGCTCCTGCCATCCAACGCCTTCGAGGCAGTCCAGGCGCGGGTCAGAACAGGCTCCAGGAGCTGGGGAGCCCACTTGCCCCAAAGCTACAGTGGTTACTCGCTCATTTGACTCCTTTGATTTCTAAGATCGAACGTAGATAGAGTGTAAGGTAGAGTACATTAATTTGGACCGTTGCTCGAGTCCGCTACCTCAAGACACCAAATGGATGGCTGGTTTCAGGCTTGCGGTGCGAACATGGGAGGTCTTTGGCGAACAGGGACTTGAAGGGCTATGGATATCTTGCATCACAATCCACTCTAATGATTTGGTGGGATTCACACGACGGTACTCATTGTTAATCCCGAGTATCTATTCCAAAACACTACCACTACCCATTAAAACAAAACAACTCATGTCGGAGACCCCTAAATACGGTTCATATGTGTTTTTTTCAATTACTGCCTTCATGAACCACTACTAAACTACAAACATGGTCGATTTGGGGTGTTTTTAATTAGGTTCCTAAACGACCCTGGCGGTCCGTGCTGGCTGTCCACCCTGGCTGTCTACACTGGCTGTCTACCCTGGCTGTCCACCCTGACTGTCCACCCTGACCGTCCACCCTGTCTGTTTTAGGGTTTTTAGGATGTCTCTTCGAATTTAGCCATCAACTACACTCTTTGGACAACCTTTGGAAGGTGGCGTTGAGGGAGCAGAGATGTTGGACTATCCGGGAGAAGGCACTCTTAGAAGATTTAGATGCTTCAATATCCGTGATCAAAAGTGGAATGGAAGAAGTTGTGGACCTCTGACAAATCTCAAGCCGAAGCAGCTGTGCAAGAGTCGGCGCAGAAGGCCAGGAAGTTGGCCGCTGAGAAATTTGCTTGTGAAACAGCCCACGGAAGATCTGATGGTAACAGGTGGAAGTCAACTGGGGAGTTCAAGCAACGTGAGAAATGAGAAGATCGTAGAGAGAAGAGAGCTGCCTAAGCTGTTGGTGCTGCTGCAAAATGACAACGAGCGCATGCTCCAGGTCCAGCAGCACTCCGCTAGCGTTGCCACTCCGACTGCTACCTGCGCTCCACTATACCACTGATTGCCTTGCCCACAATGACCATCACTACTAAGAAGCTAAGAAGGTCTGCGATTCATCCATTCTTGGTCAAAGTGATCGCAGAGACAGAGGCTGTCAAACGATCTTTAAACTGCAAAGCATGACAATGGCCTGATATGGCCTGTAGCTTCACTGACAACAAGTTTCATGAATCCAAAAAACGATGCGAACATGTCACTTGCTTAAAAAAGAACATAAACACCTATTTTACAAGAAAGTTCCTTTTTGCAGGGGTCGCTAGGCCCTGTGGGCCCATTGTGCTGATATGGGTGTGTTCTTGAGCATTTTTAAAAACCCCTCCGACTGACTCTCCCGCCCCTTGTGCCCAGGGTCTCCGGTGTATCCACGGGTGGATGTGGAGTTGGCCAGCCCAGTGCAAATGGACCCGGTCCGACCGGCAGCTCGGAAGGGGTGTGAATGCAGTGAGTGCTGGGAGATGTTTAGAGAAATAGAATCAACCATGTTCACCCTGGATCCACCATATGGAATCTCCCAACAAGGAAGGGCCCAGGAACGGGAAGTGTTTGATGCGCTTGCAAAGCACAAAAGGTTTTAACAACACGTTCACAAAATGGTTTGTTCGGTGTGAGATTTTGGAGTTCAGGATACAGTGGTCTTATTATTGTTATAATCAACTGTCCAAGCCATGCTTTGCGATGCAGCGATGTGTGGATCCCAATTGCCACTAGCGATCACTCGGGATGGTGAAATGTGAAGTTTCGCCATTCGTGACGGGTTTATGTAGCCAACCAAAGGTTTTTTGTGGGTTTTCGGTTCTTCGTTTCTTCTTTTGAACTGGTGGTCGAAACAATTGAGTTCGCTTGCTTCAAATTCAAAAAAGTGGTGGTTCCAAAAAGACAAGCACAATACATGATAGACTTTCGGAGACCGAGGTTTGGTGCACCGGGATCGAAACAAATGTGTAGCTTCCAGGCGAAAAGGGCTCTTTCAAGGAGGGCTTGGTACATTGTTTGGATGACATCCACAGGTAAATTGGGTGTGAAAAGCCTTTGCCATGCCTTTGGACACAAGACTACATTTACATTACATCGGCAGTCGATATACGATAATGTTTTTGCTACCCACAAGCGCTGCAGGATCAGCTGGCAGCATGGCGTGAGTTCTATGGATTCCTTTTCTTGTTGGATTCTTTTGCTTGCTGGGACTTCTCCACTCCCAGGAGTACCACCGAGCGCGTGCCCGCTGGCAGTCAGGGCGCATCGTGGCCGAGAGTACCGGTGACCTGGCGCAAGGGCCGAAGCACACGTTTCTTTCCAGGAACACCCTTTTGTTTCCTTTAGCCTGCTTCCCCCCTGCCTACTTAATGAAGTAGGTGCCTACTTAGTTAAGCAAGGGACTCTGGTAAGCTACTAGACTAAGTTCGCTCCTAGGTAATTAAGATGCAGGATAGCTCACGCTTCTTCAAGGAAGCTCCCCCGCCGAGACTATTCATTTGGTTCCTAGATGTTTAGGGAAACTTATAAACTTGTGAACATCTTTAGAACAGGTCACCCTTTGAATGGTGGCTGAAGATTCACAGTCAGCTCCATGTCTATAGATGAAGAGTGAGTTCTGCCGTGCTTTGCCCCATGGTGGCTTTGTGGGGTTTGTTTCACTGGCTTTCTTATAGCGTTGGAAGATTCATGCCCCACTTGGAACTAGAATGAAGCTCTAAGTACCGATCAAGGTTCAGTTCAACTATGTTCAATTTATCTACTACATAGTCTGATTTCTGCCCGTCACTACAGTTAGATTTGCTAGGTGTTGCTTTTGCAAGCAAAAAGAACGCTGCAAACGGCAATGTTTTCTTCACAACGTGTTCCTCAACTGAGTCGGATGGCAAAGTTCAGCAGTCCCTAAGGCCTTACAGCGGAGGCTAACACCCTTGCTCTTCAGATTTGCCAATGAAAACGGTCACCTTCCAATGGGGCTGGGATGAACACCGATGGCTAGGGCGGCCAGGGAGTAGAGGAACTGCATGGTGAGACACACGACGACCAGTTTTGCTACGGCCCCAAGGCTTTCAGAGAAGCAGCCGAATTGCATCCATTGCAGAGGCCAGGGTCCGGGGCGGATTGTGGTGGTAGCTGAAGCATGAGATGTGGGGTGCCAGAACACTCTTTATCGCACTGCAAACATGTGTTGCTGTATTTAGTAAGACAGTTTTCTTATTTCTTGCAGTGTTTGTTGTCAAAATTGTGATGTTGGTTTTGTGGTATTTTCTTTGGTACAATCGAACACTCCCCCCACACCGGACTTTGCTTAAACCTTGTTTCCAGCCTTTTCTTAGGCAGAAAGCCCTGACGTCTTCCAAGACTCAGTAGATCTCAGCACCAGACATTCCAGTCCTTCCTTTGTATGTAGGCTTTGGGAGTCTGGCTATATTGCACCGCTTCTAGGTTGGAGGCCATCACTACTAGGTTGGAGGTCATCGCTACTAAGTCGAGGATGATGGAGGCCATTGCTACTAGGGTGGAGGCCATTGCTAGTAGGTTCCTTAAAGTCTTATTTCATAAAGATTTGAGCGGCACCGATCGCCTGAGCACCTCCCAAGATGAAGGTCGGGAGAGTTGTCATGTGGTTTGACCCCCTGAGACCAACTGCTTGCTGGAGATCCCGAAAGCACATGGCACATTGACCAAGGGTACGGCCACGTGGCTGAGAAGGACCATGCAATGCTGGATGGATGTGGGTGTGGGATAGAGTTTGGATGGACATGGTCGAATCCTTTTTAAACCCCGAATGCTTCTATATAGGCTTTACTTGTTTCTTGTCATGCAGTGTGATGAATGATGAGTGACAAGTGGGTCGAGTTGGTCAACCAACAAATCTGCCTGAGCACAGCCAATAGGCTGACTATTTGGTCGCATCCACTCGCTTCGTGTGCCTCCAGTGCATCCAGAATTGGTTGCACCTGCACGGAGTGAGTATAATTTGGGCAATTTGGGCATGTCTCTCTCATGAAGAGACTTCATGATTCACAAATCATATGGATTCTATGCGTCAAAATTCCAAGTCTAAGTCACCTCACCTGGTTCGTTGATGGGGTGCCACATTACGTTCGGTGTCTTTCGTTTGCAGGTTTTCGGCATGTTCACACGTTGTAGATGTCCCAGTTGCCAGCTCTAGTAGGTAAAGGAAAAGGTTTTATCAAGCCACGACCGCAGGGGCCTGAGCAGGGCAGGGCTGAGCACCCGGAAAAAGCCACACAATGCTGCACCAGTACAGCACGAGCGTTTCTTTTTTAACATGCTTTTGTTTACCTGTACCTGTACCACCTATACCACCCCATCCATCCAAGGTGGTCAAGGCTTTGCTGCTCACAGGCGACCTGTGGACAGAGACCGGTCAGTGGACGTGTCCTGATTCCAGGTTGGTGAGAATTGTTTTATTGTGATCGATATGCACTGAAGGCCATCAATATCCATCAGTGTCCATCGTTATATTTGCAATTATATATATATATTTGATGCTCGACTAGGCATGTCCCTTCTGAGATGTTCAACCATGACCTATCTCAATATGCTCTTTATATAGTGCATTTGTTCATGGTTGGACTTGGCATGGGCCTGGGTACACTTGCCAGAGCCGCAGAAAAGCCTTTATGATGTCAAATGATGTCAACATGTTCAACCACGGCTGCTTTGCATCTCTCATATTTTGATGCGGATGGAAGCCTAACGCTTCGAAGACTTTTGGGTCCTACCTCATGCCAATGATCCCATCCCTTGAACCCGCGCCCAAACCAACTGCCATACCAATTACTAGGCCTGCTGCCGGAGCCCGAAGGCTTCCCAAGCATCGCTGCCCGCTCGGTGCAGGCCAAGATGAGAGGATTATAAACCGTTGGAGGTGTATAGAAACAGGGAGCGAGGAATGCGGCATGACATATCATGAAATACTCCGTGTGTACGAACCTGATAAAGCAACATATAGTTTATTAATAATGATAAACATGCTTTTCTTGGAAACTGCAGGAATAGTTTGAACATGTTTGAACACTAATCAGGCTTGGGGAAACATTCTATTCCTCTCGTCTATGGCAGTCTATGCTTTGGGGATGGATTCGACGTCCGCACCGCCTTCGCTCCGTTCCAGGCGCCGCTGGCGCCACAAGCGCCCAGCGCTTCGGGCGATGCCGCACCACGACGAGCAAAGGTGGCGCTGCTGCGCTGGGACAGCGCAGGTGGAGAGGCGGGATTTGATGGGCAGGTCAACAGGGTTAGTGTATTGGATTTTCCCTGAGTTCGGGTGTCAGGTCTAAGTTGAACACAAATGGTACGTATTTTGAAAGGAGCCTTCGTGCTTCGAGAGTCGAGAGTTGAACCTCCAGACATCTGGGAGTCCTCGTTGTTTTCCATGTGGGCGTCCTCATTTGCAGATTTTGTATCTCTAGGGATATTGCATGGTATTGCAGCCGCAAAAGTCTGTCCATCAAGTTTATCCAGAGGTTATTTTTCAGTAGATCTTTGCAAGATTGCCCAGCATGGGTTGACCCGGACGAGCATTTTTCGACCACCTGCATGACCCTGGAAACCACTGGAATACCTGTTGCAAGATGGATTTTCTCACAAAGTGGGCGCGGACAGAGAACTTCCTTTTTGGGCACCCTGAGGTCACTCGTGAGCAGCTCGCGACGTTCCTGGGGCCTGTGGAGCTGATAGAGAAGCAAGCACCAGAGGCAGGAGTCGGAAGGCAGAAGGAATTTGTCCATCCAGCGATGGGATGTGCTTGTGAGAGTGGTTATATAGGGTCAACGACCCTCAGACGCGATGTTGCACACGCAAAACAGACAATGTTTGTCAGGATCAGACTGGACTGGTCAGGATATGTATGTTCTTGTAAACCTCCCAACATTTTCTCGGTGAGATTCTGACGGGACAAGTTTGACCCTCGGTGTTGATCATCCACTTGTTTTTCCTCTTTTTTTTCCGGGAATGTGAAAGCACATCAACTTGGCTCAACATAGATGTTGTATCGTTTGTACTACACACCCTTTAGGGATATCCAATTTTTTAGCTACTCATTTCAGTGCTAAAGGAGTATATCCAAGATCTACCCTGGATGCCTGTGCCAAGTGGGGTCATCAAAGATAGTTTCAAAGACTCTACCTGTACCATCTACTTGGGTGTTCTTTTAGGTATGTTTTCGTTGGTTTGCTTGATTTGCTTATTTTATTTGTTCAGACGTGATTTTGCTTTGTTTGTTTTTTTTTGCTGTTGTTTAGTTTTTTTTTCTGTGCTGTTGTTGTTTGTTGGTTTTAGTGTTTGCCGTAGTTTTGTTTTGTTGTTGCTTGTTTTATGCGGCTCGTTTGTTTTGTGTTGCTTTGGTTGTTTTGCTGCTTCTGTTGCTTTTTGTTGCAGTTTGGTCTACTGTGCTGCATTTGTTGCTGTTTGGTTATTCCGTGGTGCACTACTGCGCAACTTGCACACACACACACATATTTCGTAACATATTAGACAGAGGCTTCAATACGCTTTGCGAATGTGTATGTCATGGTTGTTTTGCGGTTGGTGGGAAAGAACATTGTGAATGAAGTACACCTACTTCACCGCTTACATTGAATGTCACATTGAATGTCACATTGAAGTACAGCAATGCTTACGTGTGGTGCTTACAAGACAGACGCAAAAGCCAAAACCTAGGTGAGAGCCAGGAGCCACTCCAAGGTAGCAGGAGACCTTTTGTGAGCCCCCCGAGGGTAAAGTTTAGAGGAGGTAGGAGCCATTCCAACATAGCAGCCCTTTTGTGAGCCACCCGAAAATAGAATTTAGAGGAGGCTGAGGAGGACGGGATCATTCCAAGGTAGCAGGCCTTTTGTGAGCCACCTGCGGGGCAGCAAACCACGCGATAAGTTTCAGTGGCCAATTTTTTCGTGTCACCTGCAGAGAGGGCGGCACGCTACTTCCTCGAAGTTCTGCAGGAGAACTGAGCTGTTCAAAGTTCACATCGTACAGCATTGTTAGTCACGACCCTACCAGTCTTTCATATTCTTTTTCGAATCTCTAAAAAACAGGTCGCCTTGGCAAGTTCCCTTAAGTTGACCGGCGCATCCAATACGAGGTATAAAGTGAGAGAACTCCGCCACCCCAAGTGGCGCCGGCGCGCCGCATCTGTTTGCGACATGCCAAAAGCGCTTTTGAGCGCGAGAGCCTCAGTCTGTTTATAGAGCGGTATCTTGTGAATCGACTGGGGTCAAAGCAGCGTGGGGGAGCTGTAAACCGCATCCACTTCCACAGACAACGGGTATTTCGGTGGGGCGCGGTAAGACGCATCTGCTTACACGCTGCAGGCGTCGAAGACGCAACACTCAAGAATGAGTGTGAATGAGTCACAAAGGAGGCAACAAAAAGAAGCCGTTTTGTATTGCATATAGATTGGCATGTTCTCTTTTCCGAACCGAGGTATCTGAAGGATAGAGCCCCTGTGCCTGCCATTAAGGCATATTAAGGCGCTGTACCAGGGCGGTGCAGCTCAGGACGGCAAGCCTGGGTTGCGCTGGGCAGTGCAAGCCTGGGCGGTGGTGCAGTAATAAGCCACTTCAATCTGTTTGGGCAGGGGTGCTGTAACCGCCGAAGCAAGGCTTTGACAATAATATAATGAAAAGACAAATTGTCAATACCGCGCCCCACGCGGTGGGCATTTTAGTGGTTTTCATTCAAAATGATAAAAAACTCAGATTGCCAACTAAACGCGCACTCCATCTACTCTGAATCTACCGGAGCAAAGAGACGCAAAGGGCTACAGCAGGAGAAATTGGCAAAGAGCGCATTCAAAGAGTTAGGCCACCAGCTACAGGTGTATCACAGAATATATATATAATACATTATACATCCACATGTTACATATTTGCATGCAAGCCACAGTGCAAAATTCTGGAATCCAAAACTCTGTTCCGGCGTGAAGGGCCTGAACTCTGTTTTTTGTTTCGGAGGTGTCTATTGGATTGCTGTGTTCGGTGTGCTCCTCTTCAGACCAACCGCTTTCAGTACTCGATGCGACTTGAAATACCCACATGCCCTTCGCATCCTTTGCCATTCCTCGCCTCCTCCACATGCATCAATGCAAATAGAGGATTCGATCACGTTCCTTTCCTCTAACAGAATATTAGTTGCGACGCTTGGTGGATTCGGAAGGGTGAAGTTGAAATAGCATGTTATCAACAAAACCAACTTTGTCGAGTCATGGTGCATGTTGCACCCATAAACAAATTCGCTCTCGGCGAAACCAAGAAATGCGCATCTGCAAAAAACATGGAAAGCTTAAACCACTGTGTTCTAGCTGAAGATAGTCTTCCAGATGTTTATGTCCCAGTTCTCCCTTATGTTTTGTGGAAACGACTCCTCCTACGAGATGAGTGCTCCTCCTCTCCTCTCTTCCAAGAGGTGTCCGGTGTTGCCGATTGAAGGTTCTCGAGATGCGAGAACTTTTGGAGTCCTGGTCCCAGGCCCGAACTGAAAGGGCAGCGCATGGAGAAATTTGGTGCACATCCGTTGTACAGCATCTCCAAGCATCTCTTAATGTTTAGAATCATACAGTTGTGGCTCAGCCGGGCTGGCTTTAGTTGAGTTGTTGGTGTGACAAAAATTATTGAGCTCTCCATTCTGGCACTGCAGGAATCCTCCGGCATGGATTTGATCTTAGTGTCTCCTGGCACACAGAGTTGGGGTTACGCGATGGTGATGGTGAGTCTGCAATTTTGCCAGAGTCATCCAGAGTCATAGTTGTTTGGATGGAGTTCCAGTTGCTTGATGTTGTCTGGGGTCTGTTTGCTTGTTTGTAATGGCAAGTGGTGCCCTGCTACCAAGCACCATCCTTAGTGCAATTCGACTGACAGAGCGCTCGTTTCCAAAGATTGACACAACAAGTGCCGATCCTTCAAAGTCCCATGGGAATGTTGGATAATGAAGATACTTGAAAAAGCATGCATTGGATCGAGCTGTGCGCAGCAAACAGCCGAAGGATGTGCAGTTGGCGTTCTAGTAGTTAGGACAGATAGTGCTCTTTTGGCGGAACATGACTATATCGTATGCCTCCCAGACCCAGGATGAGGTCTAAGACGTTGATCCCGTTCGCCGCCTCAGACCACAGACAAGTCTACCAACTTGCAGCATGTCCTCACCGGCACCACAGCTTCTCATTAGCTCAAAAGAGGATAGGATGATCTGACTGGGTCAACCACCACACACTCCATTCTCTGTGATCTCGTTCATATCTGAAAAAATATCTCCAAGCATGTCTCCACATCGCCTGTATTAATTTGATTGATCCATTTCGGTTCAGGCTGGGGAACTTTGGGCTGGGTGCCAAAGATGAGAACATCTTGGCTTTGCTGAGCCTTGGTCCTGCAGTGTGGCAAGGATAGAAGGATGTTTATTGAGGTGGGCCGCTGAAAGGACACCATGATCTGGTTTGGGAGGATGTTGAATTTGTTTAGTTTACTGTAGTTATTTTATATAGCAAAACCATTGTATATACATGACTCCTTTGATACACAATGTTAGTGATGCAAGCAATGCATATGCCTTGCTGAAGCATGACTGACATTGTGATTTCTTGGCAACACTAGTACATCAAATCCTGTTATGGTCCGACTCGCGAAAGCAGCGGGTCCTAAGGCGCTCTTTGGTGCGAGAAGCTCCGAACGTGGCGGACCTATTGCTGCGTCAGGGTCTTGAGCAATCTCCTTTGGCCATGCTCCAATGCGTGGTGGCAGGCTATCGGCCCCCGGGCTTGAACTTGGGTGTGGGCCTCTCACGTAGCAAGAGAGTCAGTGGCGAACCATTTGAATTGTCCATCAGGTGAATCATGTTTGGGTCACCACATGTCAGAGGAATGAAGATGCCTAGGCTTGCTTAGTGAAATACGAGAACAACAATGGAAACTAATTGGCAACGGTATGCATCGGACTTTTTGTCAGCAGACCGCAGATCAGCGTCTTGGTTCACAACTGCATGGCCTTCCAACCGGTGCTGGCCCAATTTGACTCCCCCTTCCCAGCAACAAGCAAGATGAATACTGAGTAGCACCAGCGACTCTTTTTCCTTTGTTGTTTACCGTAGTCAAGTCTGAGGGATCTACAAGGGCCTTAGGGCCTTAGTAACGGACCCCTGGCCGACCCGTTCCAAGGAACTCCACCTTGCTGGTGACCATCTCCTCTTTGACATCCAGCAGTTTGGGCGACCTTTGCAAGTTGATTCGCGCAGACAGGCCCTAAGCAGACAGCTAGAATAGAAGCCACTTAGATGCAGACAAGTGTGCAAAGGTGTTCAAGGCATGCAAAAGCCAGCTGCAGTGACTGGCCACAAAATAATCGGTACTAGATTAGCCGTTGGGACATTTTGGAACATTTATCACCTGTGTGACGCCATGTAGAAGGTCGTAGGTAGGCCGCCTTGGATGGATGACTCTAAACACCTGAATTGCTGGATGACAATCCGACCTGTCCTGTTTACCGCCCGGCTCGACCCGGGTTGGCCACCCAGTCACCTAGCTCAAAAACCATGGGACGAGCTGCGAAGTATGGGACATGCTAAACTGCTACATAAGACGACGTCCGGTCAAAATTGGGTCTTGCACCACGAGAGAAACACTTGCTGGTCAATTCGTACACCAAACGTCCAACAAACCATAAAGACTAAATTTGGTCAAACTCGGTTTTAGGATGTTTTAGGTGTTTACACCTGACTGGTGTATGCCTGCAAGGTATCCACTGACCTCCCAATTTAGGAGTCTAATCTTTATGTCGAACATGCTGGGAATCTTGCACGCGTGCCACTGTTTTTGTTGGAATACTGTTCCATCATGTTCCATCAGGTATCAGATCGCGCGCTTCAGATTTGTAGATACACATTGTCAAATGCCATTCCGCCATTCCCATATCATTCCTACTCGTTTTATGTAAGATATAACCACCTCAAGACCTCAAGAGCCAAGCTATTTGCCCTCAGCCCAGGCCAAACCACGGACGTGCCCTCCCATCGGCTTCGTTTGAAATCGCTCCTCTCATGTGACCGCCGCGGGCGCACGGAGTTGCGGGGTCTGTGGTGCTGTGCCGCGCGGGTTTGCGGTCCGGACGGATGGACTTCTAGGACCTGGAGGAGCGTGGCACTTGTTCCTAGTAGCTTCTTGTTACTACTAGTAAGGCCAGGAGCCCCTAGTAGCTTCTTGCTCCTAGTAGCGTGGCACTGGTTTCTACTAGCTTCTTGTTACTACTAGTAAGGCACCTGTTACTACTAGCGTGGCACCTGTTACTACTAGGACCTGGAGGTGAAGTTGAGCGAGGTCAAAAGAGTGTCCGCCGGAGCTGATCGGAGACATTTGGAGACACTCTAGCTCAGGTAAGACTCATGCCTAGCTTGAGGCTTTTGGATAGATGGTTGTCCCAGAACATGAAGAATATTGAAGAATCCATCCCATCAGGTGCAACGTGTTCAAGAAGTAGTTTCATTCTGCAATTTCGGTACCACATGGTACCACTAGGTTTCTGGCTTGGTCCCAGCTTCGTCAGTTGTCCCCCTGCTTTTCTGGTGCTCCCATGAAGCTGATCACCATCGCAGGTGATGCAGAGTATGGGCTTTGATCTCTCTGAGGTGGGGATCTTCGGTGTGGCTGTTTGTCCTGCCCCAGAGCTGCAACGGCGTCCGCAGAACGTATTTCGACCTCTTTCTCAGAAAGTACATGAAAGTACTGTATGTGGAGTTTTTTGGTACTTATCGACTGACAAGGATCTACTGACCGCATAACAATCGCCTTTCACTGCTATCCCCGCGGTGATTTGCTGAGATTGCTGAAGATGTGCTTTACTTTTGATTTTCAAGCAATCCAGAGGGCGAAAGAATGCGAAAGATGATGTATGCCAGGCCACTTACTGTAAGGCATTGATCACAAGGCGAACTTCGTGCTTTGTTGGCAGCTCTGACATATATATATGTTTAATGCCTGGACTATCAGACCCTTTTGCCGGGACATCCAGAGCTGATCAAACCTCCCTTTGCTCGATGAAGTGAACAGATATGCAGGCAGGAGATACCAATGGCGGAAGGACCAGCTGGTTCAATGCAACTTCCATCAACTTCCTATGGTTGCCCATTAGGTTTGGACATGTGACTGCCATACTCCAAACGAATTCAGGTTTGGACATGTTGCAGCGGACTCCTCGCCCAGACATGCTACAGTACACTGTCCACCTTCTGTCAAAGAAATCAATCCCTTGCGCCGTGAACGCTCGTGGGGTGGCGCAGTTCACCCTGGCTGAACGCATACGGGACCCGCCGCAGCGGTCCAAAGGCAAGTCTTCACATGTCTTCACCAACCGAGGGTGGATGAGAAGGGCTGTTTGGGTCCAACATTTGATGAGACATCGCACACTGGATTTTGGTGAAAGGATCTCGGTGCGTGTCGCCTTCCCACCGTCAACAAATCGGCCAGGATGATGTCCAACTGCTTGGCAACATGTACTGCGATTTGGGTGGGGAGGCCAAGAGACTTCTGCTGTGAGGTAGTAGAGGGTGAATCTTGTCGGGATCCACTGGGCTAATATTGATTTATACGGTGTATGCCAGAATACCCAGAATACCCCAACTCACAAACACGGCACTGTTCGAACCCATCAGAAAGAAATGGTGCAGGCAGAAAAGACAGGGCTTTCTAAGGCATATGTTTCAAGACCTCGCCGGGGTTCCTGATTGTGAAAGCTCGGCATAGAAGAGAGTCACACATGTTTTAAGAGTTGGTCCAGTGTTGTGAACTCTCAGCCAGCAACAGACTGCAGCAACAGGGTATAGTTTAAGGAGTGGTATTTGGGTGTCGGTTGGAAGGACCTGTCGAGTGGTATCTTCGGAGCCGCCCTCCAATCTCACGGATGATCTCCACATCTCAGGTACTTTTACTCCCTCCCGTCACTTACCTCTTTTCAAACCAATTGTCCCAGCAGACCAATTTCAGGTGACCATTGGATCTTCAATTATGTGGACTTCCTCAAGAGCGTCGATGTGCCCTCAGAGGAGATGAGATGCCAACTCACCTTGTTTCGTGCGAAATCAGGACAAGAGTCAGGTTGGTGAGGTCTTTGATTCCAGGTCCACCCAACCATCGGCTGAGCTCGGTTCAGCCCAGGTGGAGAGAGAAGGAGAAAGAACCAGACAAGCAAAGACAAAGGACAAACAACAGAACAAACAACATGACAACAATGTTGTTTAGCTGAGGGATGGTTCAATCTATATAAATGGAACGCTTTGAGTTTATCCAACCGTTTCACTGGGACCTTCAAGCTGTTGCCTCAAGAATGGCCGACGATCCCCGTGTTTGCCCGTAAGATTATCCTATATATGATTAAGTAAGTGATTAAGATGTATCATATATTGTGCAGTATATCGAGGAGTTCCAAAGAGCCTTTGAGACGTTAAGTGAGTGGGTTTGGGCACCACGATCCTCTCATCTCCTCTCCAGTGAGTGGTTTTGGGCCTGCGGGCACAGTCCGGACGCGACCTGCGGGTCCACAGCGAGGACGTCGAGCTGGCCATTGCCCAAATGAATGCTCCCTACAAGGCGATGGGGTGACTTTCCAGACAGCGATGGATACAAGGACGCTGTGGTACCGACAGATGAAGACGCTGTGTAGGTTTAAGCACCAGGCATACGGCATGACGTGACGTGACTTTTGAGAATGACTGACCAGTTGTGATCTGTTCTGACTCCTGGAGGTCAAAACCATCAGCTTGAAGGGGATAAGGGGGGTCTTTCATCGACAAAAAATTGGTGGACATCAGAATGAGTGATACTGCACACGACATTGGCTGGGTTGACCTTGAACATCGTTGGACCCCCGGGTGATTACCAGCCATAACTGCCTTGGACTTTGGACCATGGTCTATTTTTCGAGAAGGACACTTATTTGAAATGGAAAAGATGCCTATATACAAAGTAGTGGTCGTGGTCGTGGTGCTGCTGGTGGTTCTTCTTGTTGCTATCACAGCTGTTTTCGTCGTTGGCTTTGCCGTCACTAGCTGGTTTTTGTCGCCAAGCTCAACAGATTTGCGGAGACTTCTCAGATTCGTTGCCTCAAAATGGCCAGGGAGAAGACATCTCACACTACTTTGATGCGAGAGGGAAGGCGGGGCTGAAGAGTCGGTCGGGCCGTTGTGGGGTCGTTCTCTTTCTTTACAGTCCCACATCACCCAAGTTGGTTAGGTGGGGGGGAGGATGTGAGAGGAGCTGTGCATGCTGTCACGTTGAGCGTTTGAGGCCGCATTGTGCTCATCCCTCAGCATTGCTACATCAGTGGAACGAGTTTGGAGTTCACCTTCACGGCCTAAAATGTGGCACTGATCATGAGGTTGTCCGAACAAGTGCACACGTATTGGGCATTTTTGAGGATCAGATGCCTTCTACTCAGTCTACTATAGTCGTTTTTGTTTTCACTCCAAAACCTGCTCATCCGTTGCCAGGTCATCCCGCATGAGAGCGCCATCTTAGCATAGGCCGCTTTGGAGTGTAGGGGCGTGTATGTTAGGGAGTTCATTGGGGGTTTGAGGGCCATGTGTAGTTTGGAGATGTGTGGAGGGGAGACATTGATATAGATTCCTATCCGTTTGGACCTCCTAGGACCGTCTCCATTTGTTCCAGTTTGGCTTTGGCTTGTTGATGGGTTTTAGTTGTTTTAGCCCACCCTTACTTAATCAAGTAGGCGCCTGCTTAATTAAGCAAGGGAGAAGTAAGCTACTAAGCTACTAATTACTAACTAACTGGACGCAGGATAGCTCACGCTTTTTCAAGGAAGCTCCCTCCGGCTGAGGGCGCCCTCATTTTGGGTTCCTAGATTTAGGGGAGATCTGAGGACATGAACCTGTTGTTGAAGGGCATGGGCCTGCCGTGCCGTGCTGGTCGTTGTACCCCAAAAAGAGAGTATGAGAAGAGACTGGTTAGCACTCTCGGTCACTTTCGGAGGTGCTTGGTACGTCATGGTAAGTCAGGTGTGGCCAAATCCGAGGTATTTCGATAGTTTGGATCAATGCTGCAAGTTGTAAGTTGTGTCCTCAGCCCTGGCCAATTAGTGAATGAACTTCACGGTGCCATGATGTGCCATGTATACCCCGAAAAACCAAGGCTCAGAATAGTCATCTTGAAATGGTTCGGCTGATCAATTTCACGAGTCCCCAAACTCTTGGCGTTCCAATCCCAGTCACATGATTAGCAAGATCGGGGAGGTCCTGCTGATTTTGCTTGGCTCAGGTGGCACCCTCCGCTGCCGATGCATGTGTTTCACCCCGCTGCCGCTGGGCCATTCTCACCCCGCACTGTGCAATGGCGATGGAACGCCATTGCAATCGGCAATCGGATCGGAGGATTGGATGGGACGGCGTCATTGGAAGACAAGGAGCCGGAGTGCAACCAGAGATTCATGGGTTCCTAGGCTTCCTGTTGGAGGCTGTTGCGACCGGTGTTTTTGTTTTTCGTGATGCAGTACATGGAAAGGGTGGATGGCTGGGGAGGTCATTTTTTTGAAAAGTCATCCCGACTAGCTAGTCAGTCCTATCCAGAGCTTTGAAGAACCAGCCCAGCTTTCATCAAGCTGTGTTTGAGCTGTGCTTTGGAAACCAAAACCGGTGGTGTCACAAAAGCGGCCTTCACCTGGAAGAACCGTTTGGGTCAAACTCAAACAACCCCCGTGACCAGCCCATGGCCCATGGTCTGTTTGGTAGGTTGACTCTCCTGGAAGTTTGTGTTGCCAGTGGTAGTTCAACAAGGGGGCCGAGGGTTCAACTCTTTGTCCGTAGATAGATGTCCGTAGCAATGTGAATTGCAGATATCTTCTTGACTCGAGTTCTATACTGCGAGATTGATGGTTTCAATCATGTCACTCTTGCGATAGCAAGGTTTCTTTCGATCGGGTGCAAATCCTAACCCCTGATCTTTCAGGTCGAAGCCCTCTCCCCACCTCCCCTCTCCCCACCTCCCCTCTTCTCCTCCTTGTCTTCCTCCCACCTTGCCTCCCTCCCTCCCTCCCTCCCTCCTCCCTCTTCGCAAGTTCGACTCCGTCCTGTCGTCGCTCTTTGGCATGCGGTTAGCGTTGCGTATCTTGCGGCCGCGCTCGCTCACTCTCTCTCACTCTCACTTTCACTTTCACTCTCATTCTCACTCTCACTCTCACTCTCTCTCTCTCTCTCTCATCTCTCTCATCTCTCTCTCATCTCTCTCATCTCTCCCTCATCTCTTTCTCATCTCTCTCTCATCTCTCTCTCCTCTCTCTCTCTCT